AGTGGAACGATTGCCAAACCGTTCCACAAATTTTATAGTGGCATTTTCAGCAAATATACAGAGCCCGTTGGAGATGCTTTTCCTCCATCTGTGTCGTTTCCTGCAGGTTTACAGAGCCCGTTGGAGATGCTCTTACCCCGGAAAGCTAAGGGCATGATTGTTTATACATTTTACAGTAAATATCTCACTCAAAACTCAAATTTAACTCAACTCAACTATCTTCAATATTATCAATATAATTAAATAATATCAATCAATCATTATTACACATCATATCAACTTTAATTCACTATTCACCCACTCACATAATTTTAACCAATCATCGCATCCAATCATTTTCTCCTACTTTTACATCAAATCAACTTTAATTATTTTAATTTAAATATTATTTTAATATACCCACTAACAACTAATCATACTATTTTTTTTCCAACTTAACTATAGTTCAAGAAAAACTAGTTTTTTACCAGTTGAATTCATATCCAATCACCCCCTAAAATTTTCCTCTGGAAGCTATTACTCTTAGCTTTTCCCTATTGTGAAAATCTAGCTTGAAAACATATAGTTCTAGGTAATAGGTGTTGGCGTTGTGGTTATAGAGAAACAAATTGTTATCTCTTATTCGATTGTTCCTGGGCTAAGAGAATGTAGAAAAATGCAGGATGGTGGGAGTAATCTTCTTGCCTCCAGAATAGGAATTTTATCTCATTATTTTCAAATATTCTATCGAAAGCCGAGATATGGTCTTTAGGCAATTTGCGGTTGGAATTTGGCTTGTTTGGCACGACCGTAGTTGCCTTCGTCAGACAATGAACCCATAACAAGTTTGGGAATTTGGGTTATCTTGGCTAAAAGAGTTTTATTACGCTCAATCAGGCTTACTTGAGAATGGCCAATAACCATGTTGCGATCTGCTTTTTTGCTAGCAAAGAAGGGGAATGTGCAAAAATGGTTGGACTCTTTTGTTTGATGCAACTGTCCGATATACATAGATTGGACTAGGGGATGAATTCGATACTCGGATGACATTTGTTAGGCTGTCTTTACTACGTGTATCAAGGGCTTTTTTTCGCCTCTACCAGCGGAAGCTTTGGCTATTCAATATGGTTTACATTTCGCTCGGGACTCAGACTTCAAAATCCAGGCGGTTTTGATGGACTCCTTAGGTGACGTAAGAAGACTCATTCAAATGGGAGCATGCGACCCTTTTTTTGAAGTATTTTTTATACTATGGAGTTTTTGCCAATTCTAGATTGCAGTACGTGTGGATACATTCCCTGAACGAAAGAATCCAGCCATCCATAAAATTGCGAATTGGGTGACGATGGCATCCTCTTATTTTTCGAAGGATTCTCTTTCTATTTTATTCTCTCCTTTCTTTAGGGATGTAGTGAACTCTTAATATGCTTTAAATAAAAATAAAAAAAAAAAGAAAGAAACTTAGACTATAATTTAGGTCCTACTCTTCATCGAATCATACACTCGTACACACAAGGTGTGTTGATGACTATTTAAACAATTCAATATAATGTATTTACTATTTAATGCTTACATGCAACTTGCAAGAAATGTTTTGCAATGTGTGTGTATGTATGCTAGAAAAAGTGTGACTTTGTATATAGCATTTAAAACTTAAAACGGGCTATTCAAATCAAATTTAAGTCGAGTTATGTGTTCACTCAAATTAGATAATTGACTTCATAATGTATAGATTAAATGATAAATTTATTAAAAAAGGTATTGGCTTTAAATTTTATTAATGATAAATAATATTTATGAATAATCTACATAGTAGATATTGTAAACACTTTATAATTATTAATAATAATTAATAACAATGTTCCTAAATAATCTAGAATTATTGTAATCGAGCCTTTATTGTTTACAAAATAAGTCGATTAACAAGTTCAATATCGATGTGTTAGATATTAACAAACCGAACTTCAGTTTTAACGATTCGAAGTATATAAAATTAAATAAAATTGACATTCTCAACTATTGATGAGTTTTAACAGTCCGAGCTCAACTCGACTCATTCACAAAATAGGTTCGAACTCGACGAATTTATCAAACAAACTAAATCAAATTTCAACCTTAGTGAGTGAAGTTCACGATAAACTCGTTTGATTTAAAAATTTGTTAAGACTTACCTTCCAACGTTACAAAAGCCATGATTTTCTCGAGAATTACTTTACTTGTGCTTTCTTTTATTAGCCCACTCAAGAACACGAACAAGGAAAAAAAAAAATCTCTTTCTCATTTTCGTATTTAACCACAAAATCTGTGTGAGATTTTGAGCAGATTGGAGATGGCGGGCGGTTATCGGGCCGACGACGACTACGATTATCTCTTCAAGCTGGTCCTGATCGGCGACTCCGGCGTCGGAAAATCGAATTTGCTGTCCAGATTTGCTCGGAACGAGTTCAGCTTGGAGTCCAAATCCACCATAGGCGTTGAATTCGCCACCCGCAGCATTCGCGTCGATGATAAGATCATCAAGGCTCAGATTTGGGATACGGCAGGGCAAGAGAGGTAAAATTTGCTGTTTTCGTTTCTAGATTTGGTTTTTCATGAGCAAAATCTGTTCATCTATGCTGCCGCTCGTTTTTTTTGGGAAATTTGTGCTGAATTGAGGGGTGTAGTGTTTGTTTTGGCGACATTAATCTTAATTTTAAGTCTGCGTTTCTTAAAATTGGGTGGATATAGATCGTGGTGAGGCCTGCAATTCGATAATAAACACAAGATCCAGCAAAAATGTGTGATAGATTTATGAAGTGAAAGATTCAATCATTCAAGGCTGTTGAAATTGCATCGTTGTGTGTATTAACTGAAGGGAACTTGGTTTGCGGGACAATAAAGAGCATTCGGGCAAATGGTAATCGATAACTGGTCGAATGTGCAGAACTTTTTCTCTGCCTAAATCTTGTAAATGGGATGAGCTTTGAGGGTTTTGAGTTAGATGATACTGCCTGTACTATGTGTGAAGATTAGGAAATATTGGTTTTGATGATATAATTTTCAACGTTGAAAATGTGATGAACTATTGACTGTAATTAGACTGAGTAGCTTGAATTCGAGATACGGGTACGATTTGATTTTCCTCTTGTATATGACATTTCAATTGACCATGTTTTGTCGACAAAAGAAATAGCCAGTATGGCTTGCGACTCTTGCCACGTGTGTTTCCGTGCTCTTATTTAGGTTATAATAAAAAGATAACAGGGAATGTCAAGAAACAATCTAGATTCTCGCCAATGTCTCTGTCAAATGTCCTATATAAAGTATTAGACCAGACAACCTATTTTAAGTTAATGTAAAGTATCAAAATTTATCCTCTTTGTTTGAATTGTAAATATTCAAGAGGAGTGTATATGGGCCAAATTTTATCCCGAATTTTGTAGTCATTTAAGTCGTCATTTGTTTCTCGTTATTCTCTTCAAGAGTAGGAAGACGATGCATGATTACTCGAAGGGTTCAAGCCGAACCACAATTAGGTCTCAATCTCTCTATAGCGTTGCGAATCCATTAGAAACCACATTTTAATTTTTTCTCATACATATTGCTTAACATTATGTATATTCCTCAAGGTACCGTGCGAACTAGTGCCTACTAAATTAGGTCTCAATCTCTCTCTTTAGTGTTGCTAATCCATTATAAACCACATTTTATATATATTTTTTTTAATACATATTGTTTAACATTACGCATATTCCTCAAGGTACCGCGCGATTACGAGTGCCTACTACCGTGGGGCTGTGGGAGCCTTGCTCGTGTACGACGTCATGCGCCACGTCACCTTCGAGAATGTCGAGAGGTGGCTCAAGGAGCTCAGGGACCACACGGACCAGAACATTGTAATAATGCTCGTCGGGAACAAGGCTGACCTCCGCCACCTCCGGGCAGTCTCGACAGAGGACGGGCAGGCCTTTGCCGAGAAGGAAAAAACCTATTTTATGGAGACATCTGCACTCGAGTCCATGAACGTAGAGAACTCATTCACTGAGGTGCTCACACAGATTTACCATGTCGTTTGCCGCAAAGCACTCGAGATAGGAGAGGACCCATCGGCTCTGCCTAAAGGGCAGACCATAAATGTGGGGAACAAAGATGATGTGTCGGCTGTGAAGAAGGTCGGTTGTTGCTCTGTATGATTCTTCGTTTTTTTGGGAGGGAGGAAAAGTTTGACAGACGAGTGGGGACACATTTGGGTTTTTTATTTTTATTTTTATTTTTATTTTTTTTGGTTTTTAGCTTCCGAGGTTGTCTGTTGAATGATAAGTCGGTTTTTTTCAGAATTACTTAGCGTCGTTTTTCTTAAACTTAGCATATAATATACCTTATGTATGTATTTGATGTGGTGGTGGTGGTGGTTAACTGGTTATTGATATCGGTGAATCTTGCATTGTGTTATGTTTGCGTCTATTAGTTTCGTTTGTCGACTTTTTTTCTATAAGCCTCGAGCATTCGTGTTCGGATCGTGCCATGAAATCTGATCTTATATATATATATATATATATGGGGAAAAGCAACTGAATGAATGGTTAGCATGGGGTTGTGTTTGCTTACATTTTTCACCATTTTGTTCTTTAAATTTTGGCTGTTTGTTATATAGACGAGGCTTACTCTCACACACATTCTTTCAGGTCCTTGTGTGCTCATTCGAATGAGCCACACTTGTGTGCTCATTCGAGTGTGGCTCATTCGAATGAGCCACATTGATTTGTATATAATTACGGGAGCTTATTCAATTAGAATTTTTTAAATTTTGTGAATTTCAGTGTATTTAACTTGAATATTTTGAGCTTTTAGAATCCATTTGAGAGTTCAAAAAATCTTCTAAAACAAATTATAAAGTGCCTATCTTCACAATATCAATAATATTATGCCGTGCAATATCAGAGCTATAAATAATACAATGACCCAAAAAATGGCCAATCAACCTAAGACCTAAATAACTGCCTTAAATGCAAAAAATATCAAATTTGGTCTAACAATTATATAGTCTGTACAATTTTGAGAGAGAATGCAATGGCAGCAACAAATACAGTCTAAATGCATGTACATAAATACAATACACGACGAGAAATGTTCACTCGTCGATTATAGAATAGTTTGTAAGAGAATCAAAACAATGAATGTTTTTTTGTCGAAATTGTTATTTCAACATCAATGCTCGTCGGCTGCCAAAACCTTAACTTTGCCACGCAAAGCGGTGGATTTGCACACGGGGCAACTGTTCTTCACGACTAATCACTTCTTTATGCAATCTCTATGGTATTCGTGGCCACAGTCGAGTACTCCAATACTTTCCCCATACTCATAATCCATCTGCATGAAAAAGGCTCGAATTAAATTCATGTTTCGCCATGTTTTTGCAAGTAACTTTCCTACTTTTCAAGCCCTTGGAAATGTAACAACTTTGCCTAATTTGTCATTTGAACTATATATATAACTTTTTGCGCTCGCCGCATAACTTAAATGAAAGAAATTAAACAAAAATGTGCATATGCATGTATTTCAATTTTGTAGCCAAAAAAAAAAAAGAAAGCATATGAAAATAGTTTATTCAATCATTTTCTTTGAGGTTGTAAATCGAAAAAATGTGCAAAATTTTGACGAGAGAACGCAACTTCAGCACAACATTTTGCACGAGTCGGGCAAATGAGGGAATTGCAACAAAATATTTTACCAACGAACTCTTGGATAGAAAGTTCTTTCTCAACTCAATCTTATTCAAAATCACTTTCACTCTAAAATTGGGAAGAGAACAGATTTTTTGCCAATGCAAAAGTTGAACGATTCCTGATCAGGGCACGGTACAACTTCCAGATTGATACAAGTTGGCCCTAGCGTATAACTTCTCGATCTCAAATTGTATTTAACGAACTCCTCAGATAAACCCGTTACCCACAATGCCTATTTGTGATGTCGAAAAATAGGAAAGAATGAATTTGATTCATTTGCATTTTGCTACCAAGATGTTTTCTTGCATCATACCATATCCTCTGCCAAAAACAATGGCTTACAAAAATTGGACTTTCTGAGTTTCTAGGAAAAATACATTTCCATCAGCAAGAGCAGCAATGCTAATGGGTGAATATCTACAAACCTCACAATAGGTATTAAATTAAAGAAAAGCCGGGTACATCACAATTAACCATATCTATCGGACCAAGAAGTCGAGCAATGGAATGAGACAGTAAATTTACTAAGATTGAGCCGTGGGACCTAACACCGTCCGAAATTAATTTACTCAACCAACACATATTTGACACGTACACGACGATCAACTGGAAAAACCAACTACGAAACCACATTAACGTAGATAAAGATTTCAATTAAGTCGACATTCCATAAATTCAACTAGATAGATCAGTATGAAAAAAGGATAATCTGATATGATTCAGCCAAATAAAAAAGAATTAACGGGCATCAGTAGTGTTGAGTGAAGATGACAAATATGACATACGAATTAAAAAACGAGAAAAGTAAACAACACAAGATTTACGTGGTTCCTCCTTCCTTTGTCAATATATGAACCATATCAACAGGTAGTTAAGAAGCTATAACGGACCAATTTAATCAGAGTAAACATAACAAAATATTTCATTTAACCAACACTCAGCAAAACATGCCAAAAAACCAAACAGGTCGAATAACAAGAAAAAATAAAATAAAATAAAAGCAACCATAAAAAATAAAAAAAATGGGCAGAGAAATTCAGACAATTGAAGAATTCGGATAATAGTCAAGCTGAAAATGTCAAATCGAGGGCAAAACGAGTGCGGTCCCACACAGGTGAAGCGCACCATAAGAGAGTTAGTCCAAATAAAGCCCAAGTGAAGTTCCATCTCAAAAACTAGGTTCATTTAACCCATCAAATCAATGTGGGACAACTCACAAATGATATTCCAACACAAAATCCACCTAGATTATGCCCTCAAATTAAAGAGGAATGTGCGCATTGCATGCATGGACGAACAAGTGGCCTAAAATACTTTAAAATAATATGTGATATTTTATTGTATAATCATGTATTTTACTCAGTCCATGGCTCTATCGAGTCGACCCAATATAACCTTATATGACAATTTAGGTCCTTTGATATACCATCTCGCTTATTTAGGTATCAGGCCACGTAGGTCAAATGTCGATAACTCGACCCAACGCCCCTGTGAGTGTGACGTCTAATTTGGCCCACTCGACCTGATCGACCAACTCGAGCGAAGTTGAGCTGAAGGAGCTTGGGTATGGAACCAAGCTATTTAAGAGCTCAAGTCTAAGATCGAAATCTCTATGATATATCAAATACAATATATATGTTTATTATGATAAGAGACAAGTTGGGACCACATTTAATTTTGGCTGCACGAGGCCATTAATAAGGTGGCTATGGTGGCTTTAATTAATGATGGTGGCTGAAATTAATGTTGAAGGAGGCTGAGCAATAAATTGCAGCCGAAAGTTGCACAAATTCTGCAGCAACTTTGCACATTTTTCAGCTATAAATAGGAGCACAATTTTGAAGCAAACCACAACAAAAATACAGCAACATTTCAAGAGAAAAGAAAGAGAGAGAGAGCTAAAAATAATTAGCCTTTGTGTGTATTTTTGAGTTGTGAGTTGTGAGTGGTTTCGAGAGTGTTTTGTAAACACGAGTGTATTTCTTTTTCCCAATAAAATATCTGCAGTAGTCCGGAGACGTAGGCATTATTGGCCGAACTCCGTTATCAATTTGGTGTGTGTCCAATTTTTTCTTTTTTATTTCACTTTTATAGATCCGACTTCATGGAAATTTCAGCGTATTTTTCCCAACAACTGGTATCAGAGCCAGATTGTTAATTCTGTATTATTTTTGTGTCGATTACTATTCCGTGAATAGTGAAAAACGGGAATAGTGCCAAATTTGTCGGCGCTACAAATTTATCTACCGACGTGTTCTGAAACACGGTAGTTCACAAAAATTACAGAAACGATCCGACAAAGAAGTCAGATCAGAGACGAAGTGATGGCTGCAGACGAAGGAAAAATGAAAATCGAAAAGTTCGATGGTGCGGACTTTGGTTTCTGGAAGATGCAGATCGAGGATTATCTG